CAACGGATACCTCGGATGCCTCTTGGGACCCTCTTGGAATGCCTCTCGGAGGCCTCTGGGGCGTCTCGGATGCCTCTTGGGTCATCTTGAGGCCATCTTGGCCCTCTGTGAACGATCACGATCTTTCGGCGACTCGGGTCCCTCCTGGACCGTCTTGGGGGCCTCGTGGGGCCATCTTGGTCCGCCCTCTCGGCTCGAAAAATTAGCGCGACGAGCAACGGGGGAGCCCAGAGGGCACGCGGGAAGCCCCGAGAGATTTTGGAAATTGGGGTTCGGGCCCCTTACAGTTTCCTCAGGACTGGGGCCACTGAGGCTACAGGAATGAGGGAAAGGACCCGAGGACACGCCCACTCCGTGCCCAGAGGCACGGTCGCTGATTGTGCCATCCGTGTGAATTGAGTTGCGCATGTCGGTACTTCTTGTCTTCGCTGGAGCAGGCGCAGGAGGAGGAGGAGGAGGAGGAGGACCGGGAGGAGGAGGAGAAGGATCGATCGAAGCAGCCATACGCAAAACGCGCGTGGGCAAGACAATTGGCGAGCGTGCGAGCAACGCCAAAAGCGTTAGCTGGCGGACAGGAGGCGCCAAAAGCGCGACAAGACAGACAGCGACGACGCGCCAAATGCGCGCCGGGAGGACGAGGGGAGGAGGGAGATGACGATGATGTGTATTTCAGCCAGGGCGCACAGGAAATTCAGCTCTCATTCAAAATGTGTCTCTTCTGTTTTACTGGCGCTCTTTACAACATTGAACACGAACGATCTCCAACGTATCGGATCTGCGACTGTTGCCGCGAAAGACTCCACGGCCTCGAAGCGGGGTCTCACAAGTTTATGCAGTTCGGCTGCCCACTCCTGTTTGGGCCGCCCCCGCTTGCGCTCGCAGGCCCACGCTGCAGGGGAGACGGTGTCCGGCTGGAACGTTGGCTTCCGCAAAACATGATCGTTGGGATACCAACCAATTTTCCCAAATAGTATTAGCGGTTGTTTCAACAATTGGGAGCTGTACGGCGCTTGCTCGCTTTTTTCTAAAACGCCCTTGTTGGAGACTCTGGAGATGAATGCCGGAGGTATGTGCAAGACTTGTCTGATATATTTGGCCTGGAATCCGTCCAACCGCTTCCTGTCGGCTCTGGTAAGCCACGCGGAACTGAGGGAGTACATGACCTTACTAGTGATCATCGCGTCGAGGATGAGCAGCTTTCTCTTGGCACCGATCGAAGTGTGCTTCCAAACCTTCCAATACCTGGAGAACTCACCCCACGCAGTCCCCAATCTTCGATTGAGCTCCCCGGATATTCTGCCAGCGTTGCTAATTGTAGCTCCCAGGTAGACAAGACGATTTTTTGGCTGTATGAGCGCTCCAGAAGACGAGTATAACTCTATGTCGTTGTGCACATGTAACACTTGGAACTTGTCCCAATGTAATTCCATGCCCGCCTTTCCTCCGGAAGTGGCGATTGCGTTCAGCAGCTCCTGCATGTGCCTTTGGCGGTTTCCAAAGATAAGAGTGAGGCCCGCATACAGTAAGACCGATCAATTTCCAAGTTCAAACGCTGTCTTTCGCGGTTGCGTCTTGTACACCTCAGGCGATGCTTAAGAAAACTTGAGTTTTCGTCCATAGTCTCGATTATTCTTAACTTTTTAATGTAACTCCCAAGATTTTGATAGAAGTTCTGGGTTTTGTTCAAGCCCTGAGACCATGAATTTCTTAACCCATGATTTCTTAAGCATTTCGCGGGGTGTATTATCACTGTCATTACCGTTACAAATCAGAACGGGGACAAGGGGCACCCTTGCGCGATGCCAGACCCCTGCCGCCTCTCGCGCGACCTCTGACCCCCATCGGCCACGCAGAAGCTCCTGTTGGTATAAATGCTCTTGTCGGGTCCCTCCCCCACCAGGAAACAAAACCAGGGCCTCGACAAATTTGTTTTGTATTTTTTTGCCGGATTGATTGGTGGGAACTAATGCGGTCGTCGCCGCGCGCTTGCCCTGATTTAGCAATGTCGGTCAAAAGCTTCGCCAGTAGAATAGCATTACTGACTTTTGATTTTGCGAGAAGCCGAGCAGGAAGCCCAAACCTCTGCAACAATACAAACATAGCTTCCGCATTGATCGATTCGAATGCTTTTCCAGTCTTGCGCAACGGAAGTGGTCCCTGAAGTTTTCCTGGCGTTTGCCAATTCGATGTACCTGTGGACCACGTGGATAGCGTCTGTCGTGCCCCGTCCTCGGCAGAAGCCGAATCGAGTAGCAGCAAGCCGGTCTTCTGCCCCAGCGTCTTGAAGTCGCCGTAATGACAAACTTGCCACCACTTTATACGCTACACGCAATAAGCTGATCGGTCTGTAGTTCTCGCAGATGTGCGCTGGCTCTTTGTTTTGTAAATCGTACTCACCAAAGAAGGCCGCCAGGCTTGCGGGACCGACTCTTCTAGCCAGCATGCGTTACATAATTTTGTGAGCCACTGTAACCCCCCAGGCGTTTGGGCCACTGCTTTCCAATACTCCGCCGGGATACCGTCCGGCCCGCCTGCCTTGTCCCATTTCAATCTTTGCACAACTTTTCCAACTTCCTGAACAGAGAACTCCCCGTCGTTCACTGGCAGCGTCGGCCCCAAGGGCTCTTGTGATGTTATCTCTGCAGGCCGTACTTTCCATTGCACTGTTTCCAAGAATTCTGCCATGGTGTCCGCTCGTTTGTTACTCTCCACCAACTTCCCGGCCATGTTTTGCAACCTCCCTTGTTTGCGTTGGCGCCCCAAGCAGAAGGCCCGGATAGCATCCCAGTTTCCATTTGCAATGTGCTCTTCGGTCCAAGCTGTTTCGTCCATTTTGCACGTTTTCCCCTCTTCTTTTAGTAATCGTCTTTCCTCCTGCTTGTTGTCCGCCTGTCTGGCGAGAGTCCGTTTTTCTATCAAGTCAAGTGTGCGCTGACTAATCCACGGCCTTTTTCTTTCCGCGGGAGCTGATGGAAGCACCGCTGTCGCGCTGCTTGCACACTTTTCGCCCACAAATCCTCCATGGATTCTGGGCTGCTGGGGAAATCTTCAAATGTTTCCATGAATGTTTCAGTGTATCGTACTCGTAACGTTTGGACCCGGAGCGCCTCCCTGGCAGCACCTGGACGCGATTGTCGCCGAGCCTGCTCCGTGCAAAGTGCCAGCTAACATGTGGCGAGATAGTGATCTGTCGCAAGAGGTATTTCCCTCTCGCTTCGCAGACCCCGTATTTGAGCAAGCGTTTGAGTATCGCACAAAAACAAATCCAAAATGTTGTACTGCTCTTCTGTTATGGCCCCGTTGTAAGTAGCGCCAGCCTCCAGAAACGTTACTTTTTCCTCCAGCGGCGTGTCCAAGAACGAATGGGCGACCACCAAATCAAGCCCATCACAAAACTCGATAAGAAGATCACGGTTCGGAGCGTCCACTGGCTGCACGGCTTTCCGCCCCCAACCGAAATTCCCAAGAATGTGCTCTTCTCCGTTGCATGCGCAACCCATTCGTGCATTGAGGTCCCCGAATATGACTTTCCCTACATTTGCGGAGCACGCCCTGTATTCAACATCGAGGTCATAATAAAATGCAAGTTTCTCCGGGGTAGGCTTCGGATTTTGGGGGGCGTACACGCAGAAAACACCAAAATGCCATTCATCGTAAGAATCTTTATCCAAAAGAGTCTTTCTGAGATCTGCTTATACGAGCGGACTTGAGCCCAGATTCGCTTTGATATAACAACCCCACTCCAGTGTACGTTTGCCCATCCCCTTCTGCACCTGACAGTACCACAACATACCCGTTGAAGTTATACATGTCTGATTGTTTTTCTCGTGTTTCCTGTAGGCAAGCACTTGGATATCAAGGTTTTTCACGCGCACCGTAATTTCCACAAATTTCTCCTCTGTCAAATCTTTGACGTCCCACGTTGCAATATTGAATTCTGGATTGTTGTTCTCATGGAGGCTGTTGCTCCTTAAGGGTGAAACTCTTCCTGTGCGTCCCTGGCTGTGTCAATTCGCAGGCTTTCCTTTGCCCGCTCCTTTGGACAGGCTGGTCGCGCTTTTGTCCAGCCTGTCGGTGATCTTCTGCTGTGGTTCTTTCCATTCTGGTGACTTTTGAAACTCCCCCCACGTCTCCCACGAGGGATCCAGCCAATCCAATTTGAGCTCCTGTTCCACAACTTTGACTTGAGGTATTCCTTTTCCCCCAGCTTTGATTACCCCGGCGTCGTCGTCGACCTTCAGGAACTCTTTGTCGAAGCCCCACTGCGTGAGCAGGTAGCGGAGGCCGAGAAGCAATGACGTAATGGCACGTTGCTCGATGGGGGCATCCGTGCTGCACCGTGCCCAGCGGTTGCCCTCCCGAGGGCTCTGCCTGCCGCACGCCTCTGGGAGGACCGGGAGGGCGTCCTGAGATGCTTTCCAGGACTGGAACTCCGAGAACAACATGCCCTTGAACTGTTCATCCTGGGGGACCTTTTTATAGCTTTTGACTGGAAGTTGGCAATGCGCTTCCTGAAGTATTTTAGCAACCCATGGTTCTGCCTCCGTTACGGTGTTATGCGGCAATCCCCCCAAACCAAGAGTCGTGTTATCTTTCTGCCCCTGTGTCGCCGATGGTGCGGCTGAGGTGGCGGAGCGCGGTGTGTGCGCATGCATCTTAATCTCGGCGATGCCCTTCTCGATGTCGGCGATGCGCGGCAGGATGTCGTCCTCAACCTGCTGGTCCAACGTCGAGAAGTCATTGAGCAGGATGTCCACGTCCTCCCGGAGTTGCGTCGTCTCGTCCCGGATATTTTCCATACCAGTGTCCTTTTTTTGCCGGAAGTCTTGCAAATCCTGGCTCAAGCGTTGAACTGACTCTGCGACTGGGGCAATGTACGAATCAAAGAGCGCTTTCATACCCCCCATTGTCACTGGAGCCTGAGGGTCATCGCATGCTCTGGCCATCTCCTCTTCAAATTTCTTCTGCCGCAGCGCCACATCAGTGGGGCTCTGCAGCATGGGGCGCTGTGGGCTGTCTCCCACTCGCGCCTGCTTCAACGCACTTTTCTTAGGGGTGAGTGCAAATTCTTCTGGATGTTTCCCCGGTTGCGCTGAGGCCGAAGATGCGTGTCCCGACATGGCGAAAATATGTCGAAATGTATTGATATACTTATCCCACATATGCCAGCACTGCTCCCCAGCAGCGGGCCAGCCAGCACTGCTTGCCGAGCAGCGGGCCAGGCGATGTGACGTATGCTATAGGTGGAGTTCAGAATTGCAATAAAAAATCAGTTCAGAATTGCGCACGCTCCTTGCGCACGCCCTCGGACTTGGCCCCTTTGGCGCTTGAGCCAAAATGGCTTGAGCCAAAATGGCTACGGTGAAAAGACGCGCCAATGATGCTGCAATACGCCCTCCCGTCCCAAGTACCCTCCTCATGAATCCATACGCGTACGCCTTTTCGTTCACTACAAGAAATGCTCCCTTGAACGACCAGCCCCCGATTGACCTGCCATTCGGTCGAGAGGTTTGCTTGAAAAGTGTTCGGATATGTAACAATTCAGAGGGGTACCCCAGCAGGTATTCCCAGGGCCAGGCTGAAGACAGAGAATGAGTTCTTGCATCGTCGCCATATTTTGGCTCAAGAAAAATATCCCCTCCCATCCAGCACCAGAGTTTGGGGGAGGGAGATTGCTTTGCATGGTAGCGCGGAGCATGTTCTGATCCACGGCATTTTGCTGAGTGACTCCAGGGAGTCACGGGTCAGCTTCCGCCATGGAGCAACAGGTGCAGCTGCAAGCACAGCAGATTGCCGAGCTGAGAGACTTGCTGCAGCGACAATCGGCGGAGCTCCAGAGGATGGCCGCCGCACAACCAGCAGCACCAGCGCAAGCAGCAGCACCAGTGCCCCCAGCAGTGCCACGACGCATGGAAGGTATCCTGGACAGCAAGATAGTTGGGAAGGTCAAGCAGTTCGATGGCCAACGTTCGTCGTGGAAGACGTTTGAGTTTCACTGGAAGGCCTACTTAGTGGCCAATGGTTTTCGGTTTCGAAGGATGTTTCAGGCCATCGAGGACGAACCTGACGTGGCAATGCTGGTGAATGACGTGGGCAGTGTGAATAATCCAGATTTCGAGCCTCTCTCCAGCCAGCTGTACTTTATGTTGGTGCTGGCTATGCCAGAAGACAGCACGGGCGAGAGCATCCTCTCCAACACACCTGAAGGAGAGGGCGCCCTGGCATGGAAGAAGCTGTTGAATGAGTACTCTCCCAATGAGCCAGGGAACATAGTTGGACAGTTCAGGAAGATTCTAGGTACGGTGTTCCCCAAAGATGCGGACATCGTCACGGAGATTATGAAGTTAGACAAGGAGATCGCCCGCTACGAGAAAGCGAGTGGCGAGACGGTCTCAGCGAACGTATCACGAGGCATCCTCCTAGGGGCTCTCTCGGAGGAACCCGATCTCCAGAAGCACTTGTTCCGCAACCTTCGGAGTTTGCCAACCTACGCCGACATGAGAGCAGAGGTGGTGAACGCCCTTGCAGCCCAGAGGAGCGTGAACGACGACGCCATGGACATTGGAGCGCTCAAGGGCGGCAAGTCCAAGGGCGGCAAGGCGAAGGGCGGCAAGGACGGCAAGGGCAAGAAAGGCAAGGGCTACGACTCCCAGAACGCCGAGAAGTGGTGCAGCTACTGTGAGAAGCCGAACCACGTACGCTCGGAGTGCCGCAAGAAGGCTGCTGATGATCGGAGACGGGATGCAGAGGAGGCCGCGACGAAAGCCAAGCGTGACAAGAAGGATCGGCAGAAGCAGCGGAGAGCTCAAGCTAAGGCTGGAGCCTTATCTGCCGGCACAGCACCGTCACTACCGACTACGGGGACGCTGCCGACGGCGCCGCCGACGAACCCAGGTGCGACAGGTACAGGGCCGTCGTGTGCAGCGAGCAGCGCGAGCACGATCCCAGTTGGGCTGCGAGCTTTGACTTCGAGCCCGGACGCCACATCCAGCACCCTCAACACCAAGTTTGTTTTCGGCCTTGAGGCGATCGAGGCCGAGGAGAGGCATGTGAGCATCGCTGCGGTCAGCCACAAGCCGAAGGACGCGATCATGATCGACAGCGGTGCGCAGATCTCGGCGATGCCCAGCCAGATGGTGTGCGATGCAGGCTACACGATCCAGAGATCAAAGATCCACGAGCTGCATGCGATCGATGGGAGCAAGGTTCCCCACCATGGTCGTACCGACGTCAAGATTCGACGAGGAGATGCAGTCCTGCAGCTGGGCATGGAGGTAGCCGACATCGAGTGCCCCGTCCTCTCCACAGACGCGATCACGAGGCGAGGCCAGTCCGTGTTGCACTCGCCTATGGGAGACTGGATCGTGGACGCTCCGATGCTGCCGCCCGACGGCGCTGAGGTGATCAAGCTGAAGAAGGAGCGCTCGGCCTGCTACTTGGAGTTCGACGAGATGTTGAAGGACGGCCAGACTGCCGAGCAGAGCAAGGTCATGGCTGCGCTCCGACCGCAGGAGTTGGAGGACTCCGTGGGCATCTTGGCTGCAGCCCGCAAGACGCTGGCACCCACGACTGCGCCGACGAGTTCGTCTGGGGCTCTGCCTCGAGCGCTTGGACCAGACCCCTCGGAGAACGTCGCCCTGAAAGCGAAGGAGCTCACGAGACCAGGACAGCCGACGGCGCAGGAGAGGCGTGCCCATGCAGCACACCACCTGCCCTTCAGGCCCTGGTGCCCCGAGTGCGTGATGGGGCGAGGCCGTGAGCGACCTCATCCGAAGCAGCAGGACAGCCCTGAGCTCGACGCGGACCAGGTGCCGATCGTGGAGATGGACTTCTTCTTCGCAGCTACTGACGACATCGCCAAGAAGTACCCGATGCTCCACGGCTTCGTTGTGAAGCTCGTCGAGGCCAAGCGCATCCCCAGGGACGAGAGACGCACGATGATCCCTGTGCTGAACATCGTAGATGGGAGGTCGAATGCTATGGGCACACTGATGACGAACAAGACGGTTGGGCAATATAAGACTCTGTACGTGGCAAAGCTGATCGACTCGTGGGGTCACACCACAGTTGTTCTACTGACTGATGGCGAACCCGCTATCGTGGCCATAGCCGAAGATGTCAAGAAGCATCGGAGCCATGGCACCATCGTTCGTAAAGCCGCAGCGCATTCTCATCAAAGCATGGGGCGCGTGGAAGGCGCCAACTCTCTGGCAGCGGGCCTCTTGAGGACCTTCAGGTTCGCGCTGGAGAAGCGGTTGGAAGTCACGATCGACGCCGACCACCCGATCCTACCCTTCGTGACGAACGCGATCGGCTGGTATGTCACACGATTCCAGCCGCGGGAGCACGGAGGGTCCTCCTACAAGTTTCTCTTTGGCAAGGAGTACGATGGAGAAGTCGCCGAGATCGGCGAGCAGGTTTGGTATCGGATCGCTGGGCGGGTAGCCAGCGGTCAGGGCAAGTTCGAGGCCCGCTTTGCTAAAGGCGTGTGGGCAGGCAAGTCGGAGTTTGACGACCAGCACCTAGTCGTGGACTTGCAGCGCGGGCTCCTCAAGGTGCGCACGGTGCGCCGCATGCCCGAGGAGTTCCGCTGGTCCGAGGACCTGCTGAGGCAGATCAGCGTGACGCCCTGGGACCCCACGCCAGCTAGGGCCAAGGAGATTGCGAGGCCCAAGGGCCTCTACATCACAGAGAGGATGATTGACAGACATGGACCGACTTCAGAATGCCTCAAATGCTCCACAGGGCGAGGACAGCACTCCGACGCTTGCAGGCAGAGGTTCGAGCACATCGTCCAGGAGGAGCTCGAGCGGAGGCTCAAGACTGAGGGAGCCTCGCCAGCGACACCAGCGCCGCCTGGAGTGGCGCCTGGCACGCCCGTGCCCGAGAGTGCGCCTGGTCCTAGTCAGCGCTCGCAGCCTGAGGACCGAGCGCCGGGCACGCCGAGGCCAGGAGCGCAGGTGCAGGAGGCCACGGCAGACCAACCTCCCAGGAGCTCTGTCGGGAACATCCCCGACACGCCGATGGACACCAAGGACGACGCGACTCGCAAGCATCAGGTCGAGGCTGCAGGATCCGAGGACCAGGGCGGCAAGCGCCAGAGGATCGAGCTTCTTGGTGTGAGGCCTGAGGTGACAGTCATCGCGGGCATGTCGGTGTGTGAGCTCGCGGTCTGCGAGGCGGACGACTCCGAGGAGTACGACCCCGTCTGGGACCCGATCCCCACGGCAGAGAGCCGATGCGACGGCAGATGCCCCTCACATGGAGGACGGTGTGCACTTCGAGCTGACCACCGTGGAGGCTGCGCCTGTCGGCTGTGCCTGATCCATGCTGCGCGCGCCGTGGAGGCCCCGAGCGCAGTGGTGGCAGGCCTGTACAGCATGTGGGCGGGCGGTCTGGAAGACGAGGTTGAGAGCCCGCAGATGGTCCACTACGACTACTACTCAGGCGAGCCGTTGGACGAGGAGCTCTACCAGGAGGGCAGGCGCGACGAGCTGGAGGCGATGAAGGAGTACGGTGTCTACGCGGAGATCCCCATCTCTCAGTGCCAGCCAGGGGGGAAGCACGTCAGGGGCTTCCCGATCGCCCACATGAAGGGCGACAATGTGCGCTGGAGGTTCGTCGCGACCGAGGTGAACGACAAGCACCGCGAGGACAACCACCAGGGCACGCCGCCGCTGATGGTCATCAGGCTGATCATTTCCCTCGCAGCATCCAAGTCTGATGCTGACGGCGTGCACCGTCGGCTGCTGCGTGTCTGGGATGTCCGCAAGGCGTTCTTCAATGCGGACTTGGACGAGTTGGTCTACGTGCATCCAGGATGGGAGCTGTGTCCAAAAGGCTTCTGCTGGGTTTTGCACAAGGCGATGAACGGGACGAGGAAGGCCTCGCAGCTCTGGGGCGAGACGAGCAAGGCAGCTATCGACGACGCAGGAGGCAACCCGCTGAAGGGCACAGCTGGCACCTACTACTTCGAGAACTTAGTGGGTGACGGCATGGA